GCAGTGCTCATTAGCTATTATGATATCTGATAGTGACATCCTCCATCAGAGAGCAGTGCTCATTAGCTATTATGATATCTGATAGTGACAGCCTCCATCAGAGAGCAGTGCTCATACTGTTATTGATTTAGATAGCTGTAGCATTTCATTGTGCTTACTTAAAAGTTGATTTGACTTACACAGTGGTGGATTCTGCTTACAAAACAGGGGGACATTACTCCAAAAGATCCAAGACATTGGTAAGAAATAGGTTAATCTATCAGCTAGCTATACTTATATACTCTAAAGGTTATCTAATCATCTCACCATTTATTTACTAGATGATAAATTTCATTTAATTTGTTGATTGCCAGCCTTTAGGTTCGCCAAAGAGCAGATTGCCTGATGATGTCATATCTCCTGTTGTTCCACCATCAATGCCAGCTCCTGCATTTGAACTAACTAGAGTTCAAAGAGAACCAACTGATGATGATGATTCGCTCGTCCCACAGGTACTACTAAAATATTGCACTCACAATATAATTTTTATAAGCTTTTATAAAATATTCAAATATAATTTTGACAAAAATATTTCAATATAAAAGCAATATAAAACGGCTGCTTATGTCTCTGTACTGTGATATAAACACTCTATGAGATGTAGAGCACTAGAAAAGCAACGGCAAACACTCAGCTACACCTTGGATACAGCTCCCAGCACATTTATGTTGCAGTACAGAGCCATGTGTGCAAAAGTTTTATATTCCTTGATGTGATTGTATAGAACTTGCATTATTCTAGAGCAGTTTCCATAAGAGTGGGAAACAATACAACAAACTTGTTTGTACCTTTGCCATATCCTATCACAGTCAAGGGTGCCATAGCAAGGGGGACAAGGGGAAGGGCAACAACCACCCCCCCCCCCCCCCCCCACAGAAAGTTTTGACCAAAAAAAAACATTTCTTTTTTTGTAATTCTTATTTATTTGCCATTTTGTTTTTGTATAGTATGACTGCATGTACAAGTTACTATTTTGCACCTCATATCTTGACCCAGAAATTTCATTTATTAAAGCGTGATTCCTGTAGATATGAGGGCAAACTCTATAAAAGATAAAATGTTTGTGGTTTGATAAGTTAAAGGAAGATACAGTATTCGTACTGCAAATTATTACCAGTTTAGCACTATGCAATTTTTATGATGTTTTTGACACCTGAGACAAGGGAAGCAATCTGGGCTAATTAAGTGGCATGGCAGCAAATTTGAATACTTCAATGATAAACCCCAAATTTTTTTTAGCTATTATATGATGGAGAATGACAGAGTTTCTGATATAAAGGTAAATAGAATGACAAAGTAATTTTCGTCTAGGCCGTTCTAGATCAAATTAGAATTCATAAGTTGATATTGATCTTCAAAATCATGCTGTTAAGTTGAGTCATGGGGGGGGGGGGGGGTCCTAATGCAATGCTATATTTATATATTGTTATTGTCTCTCACTCATATGAAAACTGCTCTATATACAGTTCAGTCTTACATGGTTTTGATTGAGTTACTTTTTGTTTAGCTTAGTAAAAGCTGCAAATAAAATGCAGCATAAAATAAAGAAAATAATACTGTAAAGAAAATAATAACAATACAAGACAGAGTAGCCAATATAACTCTTAAAATATATGAAACTTAGGGAGATTACATTTTCCCTTTTGGAAGAAGTTTACAATCTACTTAATTAAGATAACTGCTATAAAACTGAATTGGTAAACAATTAATAGATAAAAATGTAAGATGCTTAACTTTACTGATGATTGTTTCAAACCATTGTTTGTCATTTATATTAATTTGATAAACATCCAAATGAAGTAATGAAGTAATAATGAAGATTAAAAAGATAAATTATCATGATTATTAAATATGTTATTTATGATTTAATACATTAAACAAACAAGTAAAATAGAGGTTCAAACTGATGTACAATATCCATCCAGTTCTTGTAACTCCCATTAAACAATAAATTCATTGTTATTAATGTTTGAAATAATCTAACTACAGGTCCCATGTCTGTGTATTAATGGCAAATCAATTCCAGAAGTGGTTTCAGAGAGTAAATGTCTTGCTGCAGATAACCTGGATAACATTGTAATGACACTTAACTGTTATTAAACCAAAGATAAACAAACACTGAATGTCATTTTCAACATTTCTTTTAGTTCTTTAAAGTGTTTCATTAAGTAATTTAATTCTTTTTTCACTCATGGTTTACTCAGAGTAGTGTCAGTGGATACTCAGTCTATCGTCGTCGTCATGGTGATGGATTTAATTTTAGCGGGAGTCCAGAGTCGTCATATTCAACTGCTAGCTTCTTGTCTTCTGCTTCTAACAATTCTGGAGGCAGGTAGGTTATTTGCAATCAAAGGCAGGTGGTATCTCTTACTTCATAATTTTGAGGTTTCCTTACTTAATTATGTTCAGGACACTTAAGGCAACAAGCAGTAACCAAATGGACTCACCATCAAAGCCTACATCCATGTCATCTCTACGACACAAGAATTCAAGACCTTCTAACAGTCCTTCTCCTACATTGATATCTGTTACATCAGCTGCCTCAGCCCCAGGTCGACTACATCCTTCATCTGGTTTAAGTAAACCTACAAAGCTAACACCAGTATTGACTTCAAGGAGCGATGACGGAGGGTCAACACCTTCAATAAATCGTGTACCCATTGAATGCACAGACGAAGGTACTTGAGATAAAAATATTTAAACTTTAACAAAAGTTTATCAATTACACCATAAATAAGGTGGTCCTGATCTAAGTGGCCAGGGCAYGGCTAATTCACAGATCAAACCCTGAAACAATCTCTGGGCTGATCTAAGTCATGGCACGGCTAATTCACAGATCAAACCCTGAAACAACCTCTGGGCTGATCTAAGTCAGGGCATGGTTAACTCACAGATTAAACCCTGAGACACTCCTCTGGGCTGATGTAAGTCAGGGCACGGCTAACTCACAGATCGAACCCTGAAACAACCTCTAGGCTGATCTAAGTCAGGGCATGGCTAACTCACAGATTGAACTCTGAAGCAACCTCTGGGCAGATCTAAGTCAGGGCATGGCTAACTCACAGATCGAACCCTGAAACAACCTCTGGGCTGATCAAGTCAGGGCATGGCTAACTCACAGATTGAACCCTGATACGAACTCAGGGCTGATGTAAGTCAGGGCATGGCTAACTCACAGATCAAACCCTGAGACACTCCTCTGGGATGATCTAAGTCAGACCACATGATGGCTAACAACAACCTTTGGGCTGATCAAAATCAAGATAT